TCAGGCCTTATCAGCTAGGGGACCCTGGTCACTTCCTGCCCTGGGTCTGTGTCTCCACATGAAAATGCCGTACCAGACAAGGTGGGGCAAGGCCTAGACGAGTTGACTGTGGCCCCAGCAAGGAAACCAACAACTTCCCCTAAGTGTCTTAGAAAGAGTGGTGTGGACAGTGCGGTGGGGAGAAGGCGGGGGGCGCCGAGACGTCCCAACTGGGTTCGCTTCTTCTGTCAACAGCCACATCCTGTGCTCTGTGCCGGGTTCCGCTGTGGGGAGGTGCTTGTCCTAGGGCACATCTCACAAGGTAAGCCACCCACAACTCAGAGGCCATACATCTCGAAAGACAGAACATCCGCCCGTCACTGAGCTTCACAAACTTGAGGGTTGGAAGGTAAAGTCATCGACCCACAACCAAAGAAAGGGGACCAGCCAGCGCTAGCAGACCTGTAAGAACCCCAGGATGTATCTTCCAATTAAAGACTTCAATAAAAGCACAGAACAGTTTGGAACCCAAGCCCGAGCTGGACACACTGGTCCGGTGACTGTCTATGCAGGGTGGGCAGAGAGGGCTGGTACCCAGCAGGGGTGACGGAGGCCGTCTCCAGGAGACTCAGAAGGGGAAGGGGGCTTTAAATGCAGGCAGGGTCCTGAATATGACATCAGACTCTGTCTTTCTAGCCAGCCAAACCAGGGGGCGGGAGCAGGTCTCACAAGGCAGACCTCCCCAGCTCCTCGCCAAGTTGTTGGACTGGTTCTTCCCTTAAAAATAAAACAAAGACATTTGGGGGAAGTTACAGTGAAAGGTAGCAGGATGAGCCTCATTCGTGGCCCTGCTGGGCCTCCTTGTGTGTCTCCGGGAGGCTTCTACCTGTGAAGGGAGGCCCAGAGGCCCACTTCCTTGAACCCATCTGCCAAGCCAGGTGCAGGGAGGCAAAGTCACTTGCTGGATGCCAGTGAGAGGTCCCTGTTGGGAATGCCCCTCTGAGCCTCCCACCATCTCTCTCCACTTGGGCTCCTGGGGTCTGATGCCGACCTGTCACTTTCCAGCACCAGGACCTGGGCATGGATTCCTCAAGTCCCCCAGGTTTCCCCATCTGCACAATGGGTGATCTGCCTTCCAGTGTCACAGGAGGGACTACATTGTGAGTGCCTGAGACAGGGGCTGGCCCACGAGATCATTGCCCAGGGTGGGACTTAAATCACATCCCAACCACCTCAGGACATGCTGGGACCCAGGGCACCAAACTCATGGTACTCAGGGGACATTCACCTCACAGGTCTCCCTCCAAGTCCAAGTTACCCTGGGACCTCCATCCCCTAGTCCATGGTCCCCAGGGATCCCCAAAGCTCAGATCCCATCAGGGTCTCCTGTACCCATCCCTAGGCCTGGGAGGGCAACACATTCTTCCTCTGGGCTGAGCATATTGTCTAGATGAGGAAACAGAGGGCCACAGACCTGTCCAAGGCTCCCAGACCAGCACCAGCAGCACCAAGTTGGGAGCCTGGTCACTGGGCCCCTTGGGGTGGCCCTTTTCTCAGGACATGGGCAAAAAGGACGGGGTGGGCAGGAAGCACAGTGGTTGATGAAGCTTGTACCCCTCCAAGAGATGTTCTGAGAAGCCACCAACGCTTCATTCCTCACCACCAAACAACAGAGACCAGCTCACAGAGAGATCCCCTGACAGCCTGCAGACTCAGGGCCACCCTTGACTTCCACCCCAGCCCAGAGACCTGTAGCCACCCCCTCACCGAACCCCACATCCTGCAGACCCAGGGCCACCCTGCCCTGAGCCCCTGCAGCCCTCTCACTATACTTGGTGCCTAAGGGTCAAATCCTACCTGCTCACAACTTAAAATGCCCAAATGCCAGAACGAGGCCCTTTGCAGGGATGCTCCCTCCCCAACTGTCCTTGAAGACAACCCATGCTCAAGAGGAAGCACTCACCTACTGGAGGAACAGAGCCACACTGAGGCAGATATCCTTCTGCTGCACCTACAGCCTTAGGGACACTGTAAACTGTGTATCCCCCAGTCCTTCGCTTGTTCAGGCCTCTGAGCCCTCACCCTCTGGGTCCTGCTCTAGTACAGTTTCACTCAGGCACTCCTGAGACCCCCCCTTTTTCACTATGTGGAAGTAAATCTTCAAGGAGAAGAAAAAACAACAGAAAAAAAAATTAAGTGTATGGGTTAAACGCAAACAAAAAGACAGGAACCCACAAGACCCAGCCTGGCCTTCTCATGTCTCAGAGGATGGAGGTGAAGACGGAAGGACACAGCAGGGCCACCCTCCTGGCCCACAAGGGCCCTCAGCCCCACCTGACACCTCTGCCCAGCCCATAGGCTGCAGCTAAGGGGCATGTGGCCGGCCATGGGTGGGGCCCTGATCCTCCCAGCCTTCTCCTCCCCCTGCCTCCAGAGACTGGCCTCGTATCTGGGAAAGATCCTTACTTGTTAATTTTTTATCTGGGACCTTGGACCATGGACCAGTTCCTCTGTCCTCCTTTCTAGAGCCAGAGGCCCCCACACCATGACCTTTTTAATAAGTTCCTTTGATGCTGTCAGACAGAGGCTGTGGGGATATAGGGAGGGGAGAGGTGGGCCACTGGACCTTGCCTCCTCGGGGCTGTGGGACTTCACAGCCGGGCTTGGATCCTCACCTGCCAGTGAGACCTTGTTCTGGGATACAGTTTCTTCAAATGCAAAATGGGATTTCTCAGGAGAAATTACTCAGAGGGCAACTTAGGCACATCTTGGTCTTCCTCTGAGAGCAAGACCCCCAAAACCCAACAGCAGGGACAGCATGTGTCTCCAATACTGAGTGTGGGAGGTCCACAACCCCAGCTGTGTGTCCTTAGGCAAGTCACTTGCCCTCTCTGAGCCCATTTCTCTATAGAGGGTGGACTCGAGCTTCAGAACCCCTGAAGCTTTCGGTCTCCCAGGATGAGCCTCACACTCCAGAGTGTGCACTCTCTTTCAGAACAAAACTAGGATGAATCCAACTGAGGAAAGGTGTGCCCCCCAAATCCCTGGAGATGGAGGCTGAGGCTCCAGGGAGCTAGGCCGCTTACCCCGCAGCTCTCCTGGTACCCTAGCAGGAGGCCAGGTCTCAGGGTTAGGAAAGCCTCACTTTAATTCACACTGGCTCCCACTGGGCCTGTTTCTCCTCTGTAAAATGGGCACAGCCTGGCTCTGTGGCTATACAGGAAAGCCAAGAGGACTATCCGGAGCATACCTTCATCTGTCCATTGGGCCTCCTGCTATCTCTCTTTCCAGACCTTTCACAGTCCCTTCCAGGAGTGCCAGGGGGGTCGTCTTCAGCCACTGGAACCTTGTGTTCCTGGACAACCTCCCAGATCAGGGAGTGCAGGCGTTGCCCCGGGAGCAGGGCCAGGTGCCGGCCATTTACACACATAAACCCTACTCGGAGCCAGCCTCCCCCACCCATAGGAAGACCACAGACCCTCAGGATGCCAAGCCATCCGGACTACTCTACTCTCTCCTATCCACTCTAGGAAGCCTATGGTAATGGCCCCATTCTACAGATTGTGGGGAAAAATACACCCCAAATGCAGTTTTAGACAGTGCTAAACTGTCTCCACGACACCCCAAACCCCACCCCTTCACTTCACAGCACCAGAGGCTGATGGCAGAGAGCCACAGAGTTCAGATCAGGTAAAGCCATCACTTTACCCCCAAGAGGACAGGAGCTTCAGGCCCTGATGCCACTTTGCCTGTCCACAACCTGGGGACAGGTATACTATCTGTACCACTCAGCACGTGGGGAAACTGGAGTGCAGAGAGAACCAGGTCAGAGAAACCCCAAACTCAACAAGGGGATTCATGTCCAGGAAGTGCTCACAGAGTCCAGGACCCTCAGGCGACTTAGAGGTGACCAAGCTGCAAGGGCAGGTTACTGGGGCCAGACCAGACCAAGGACAGGAACTCTGAGACCCCCTACTGATTTTCTTAGCAAGTAGCCTTTTGTGTGCAAAAGTATCAGACCTCCAGCCACTCCCTTGCCTTGGGCTGACCTTGGGTAAGTCCCACCACCTCTCCTTGCCCTAGATTCCTACTCCTCCAAGCGGTTAGGACTCCAAATTAGGGACTATGGGTATTTAAACCAAACCCAGGAGGCCCAGATGCAAGTCTTCTCTTGAATGCACAGCAAGAACCAGACCCCAACTCCAAACCTCAGCTTCCTCCTCTGGGAAATGGCAAAACCCAGCTCCAGCCTGAATTGCCCAAGACCCTCAGGTCCAGCCCTGGTGGGCAGTGGCCACTGAAGTGAGGTTTTGGAACATCAGAGATAACAGGGTTCCGGTTTGGTTATACTTCTGAAAGGGGTTAGACTTTTTAGAAGCATCCCGGGAGCAAAGATCCCATTCGAACCCAGTGCCTTGTGCATGGAAGGTGAAACTCTTTTAGCACATTCTTCAAGTAACACTTTAAAACACTTTGGCTCCCTTCCTTCCAGGGACCTCTGGGCCTCTGAGCCTAGGCCAATCCCTGGCCCCGCTGCTGGATGACCTCGGGTGGCCATTCCTGTCTCAGGCTCGGTTTCCCCACTGGTAAAGAGGAGCTGGAGTGGCCACCCAAGGAACCCCGAAGATAACACCCTCCCAGCGCGGAGACGGCGCCCCGGCTAGTCCTTCCCGCCCCTTGGGCTGCGCGCCCCGTCAGGTGAGGCCAGTTCGAATTTCCGCAGGCGTCTGGGACCACGGAGCGACTACCGTACGGGAACACGTGTGCCGACCCGGGGCAGGTAGCTGAATGCCGCCGCCTGTTTTCCAACCACTCGCTGCCACGCTTTGGACCCGCTGGGGCTCCCGCTGGCCGGTGGAAGATCGGGAAGGTGCGTCCTCGGAGAGGCCGTCGGCTAAGTGACTCACGCGCCCCTCCGCCCCAGCTGTGCAGCCCAGCAGCCCTTCCCTCGCCCCTCGGCTTCCCTGTCTGTGAAAAGGGAACAGAGCCCCACCTCGGGACCCTGTGGCCCCAAACCTCACCTGTGCGGTTCCCCGGGGCGGACGTTGCGCTCACGGTCCGCCCGCGGGGCCTCGCCCTGCCGCGGAGGGTCGCGGGCGCCCCGCGCATCCTGCGCGCTCCCCGGCTGCCGGCTGGGTTCGCCGGGGTTGGGGGCGGAGACTGAAGAAGGGTGGTGTCTCGAGGGGCGGGGCGACAGCGCGTCCCCGCCCCGGACACGCCCTCCAAGGGCGCGGCGCCTTCCACCAATCAGGCCACACCTATCTTTGTGGTGGGGCCGGGACTGGAACCAGATGTGGAGGCGGGACTCAGGATTGGGACCACCTGGGGGAACTCTAGCCCCAATACGCCAAAGCCCTCAGATGGGAAGCGTCGCTCAAGGGCTTCTGCCCCACATTTTCCCCTTCGGACCCTCACCTGGCCCCTCCTGCCCGGTTCTTCCCATCTTCTCTCTTAGTATAGTTTTCCATGTTTATTTTTTGTGTAGGGTTTTGCATTCTTAGGGTGCGCGATTCAGCAGATACCAAAAGGCAAAAAGAGCAAACCCCTGTTTCCCCTGCCCGCTCCGACTCCCTGGGTCTCACCGCGTCTTAGGCGGACCCTATGCCATCCCTTGGTTCACTGTGAGCCATACCCTCCGAGGCTCCTTGAGCAGGCTGCTCTTATAGTAATCCTCGCTAATGAGAACAGGGGATTCAACCCCCTGGAGTCTGGCTCGGGCCACACACACCCCCCTAGAGACCTGCCCCCTCCTGCCTGATGCTCTTCAGCCCAACTCCACCTGCAGCAGCCTCTGAGTGAGCAGGAACATGTAGGGGGTCTCAGGCCCCCAGGAATTGAGAATGCTCATGGAAGACCTGAGCCAGCAAAATTTAAACTGGGACCCACCTCTGTGGAGCCTGGAAATGAAGTGGAAATGTGCTTAATAGCCCCGGGACAGCCAGAATCTCAGTGTAGCCAGAGGAGCCTAGGAAGATGGCCCAGGCTCTCAGGCTCCCTAGGGCCAGGCAGGGGTGGATGTTCTGGTGGAAACAGAGCAAAGTCCAGCAAGGCAGTCCTCCCCTCTCTTTCTGAGTACACTGAAGGAGATGCTCCCCACCCTGCCCGTCAGGCATGGTGTCATCCCCTAATATCTTGTTTCCACTTGGGCTTGTAGGCCACACATGATGGCTTTCTTCAATTTCCTTCACGCATAATCAAGCATGTGTGTCCTCTTTGCCACCTGGGGAAGGAGAGGAACATCTATAGGGCTGCTGCTCCTCCAGCCCCCACCAGAGCACACTTTAGGTCCCCAGTATTCCCTGACAGTTGGCTCTGAGCCCACCACCTGGTTCTGTGTGGACCCCTCTCAGGGTTCCTTTTCCCTCCCCCATGCACTGCCAGGTGATGGCAGCAGCCTATTCGCACATGGTGGGGCTGGGAGGGGAGGTTGGGGGCGGCTCTTGAATTGAGGATGGAGCTATGTGGGGTGGAAAAATTCTGGTCTGTCTGTGGCTCCTCATACTAGCATGTTGAGGCTCGGGCCTCCAGGAGTCCAAACAATGAACACCTATGCTGTTTACCAGCACAATCTCTGTAACCACCTGACCATATAGGGCGTGTATATTTCCTAGACCTGCAAAACAAAGGACCACAGACAGAGTGTCTTTTAACAACAGATATTTATTATTTCACTGAAAGAAGGTCAGAGTCTGAGATCAGGGTATGCACAGGAATGTGTCTCCAAAGCCTCTAGGGAAACGTTCTTCCTTATCCCTTCTGGCTTCTATCAGTCCTTGGGCCTGCCGCAACTCCAATCTTCATGGAGCTGCGTGTTCTGAACAAGCCAGGCCTCTGGCCCTGGGCCTCCATCTGTCCTGTTAGGGGATCAAAAGGTGGCGTGAGGACTTCTTTTGTGTTCTGCAGGAAGCCATACATCTTGTTGTGCCTCAGCACACCCACTAGCCACCAAAACTACCTTCAGAAGCAGCAGGAAGGAACTGGAAATGGAGCCGGGGCCTACTGAACCACAATCTGGGCTGTCCCATCCATTTTTATACGGCCCCTTGTTGTATAGCATGTTTCTGGAAAGCCCAGCAACACCAGTCACACACAGGGAGGGAAACTGAGGCTCTGTAGAGAAAGGAACCAGTGACAATAGACTACTTGGGCCGTCCTCTGATAGGCCTCGTGGTCCCTTGGGCAGGGTTGGGCACCCTTGTGCTGAGCCTTGAAGTTCTCATCTGAAGGGTGAGATGGCTCTGCATCCCCCCAGGGCTAGCAAGAGACTGTGACAGATTTGAAGCCCTGTGTCTCAGTGTTCTGTTTTGTAAAATGGCCACCACATGTGCTGCAAGAAATTCCCAAGGGAAGGTGAGGGTCTGGCATGGGCAGGAGGCTTAGCTCTAGGGCATTGCCTCGCCCACAAAGCTTTCTTCAACCACCCTAATTCACCACTTACACCCACAGGCCCTCTTGGCCTGGGAGGAGGAGACCCAGGCATAAGCCTGCTAGTGGAGATGGGGTAATTGGCTTGGTGTGTTTTCCTTAATTGCACAATAATTGTAGAAATGTAAATTGCTTTTTGTTTTTCTTTATTTTTTAATTTGTGTGTGTGTATGTGTGTGTGTGAGTGTGTGTGTGTGTGTGTGTGTTTAAATGCTAGGGATGGAGCCCAGGGCCTTGCATATGCCAGGCAAACACTCTACACCTGCCACCCAATTAAATGCTTTTTTTTTTCTTCTTGATTTCAATTTCCACACCATAGAAAAATGAGATTTTTCATTCTAAAAAACCTTTCACAGTGGACCAACTCCAGAATGTTCCATTGCAAAAGGGTAAAGGACAAGGAGGCACGAAGGACACATCATGGGTTTCCTCTCTTTTTGAAATTGTTACTTTTTTAAAACTAAAAGAACTTTTTTAAAAATGAAAAGTAACCTTCACTTGTAGCTCCAGTGAGCTGGATCTCTGGGGGGGGGGCGGGGCGCGAAATATTCCCAAAACTATTTCTGCCAGCCTGTTTGGAGTCCTCGTGGGTGTCCCTAATTCTCCTAGATGGCCTCATGCAAGTAGGAGCAAAGGAGGTGACTGGAGTGCTGTCCCTGTCTGGAGTCACTCCCCTGTCCTGCCAGGCTCTGACCACTGGGACGTCCTACCTGGCAATGGCAGATGAGTGCCCCTGGGAGCCACCAACTTCTGGTTTAGAAATGATGAATGGGAACACACAGCGAGCCACCCTGACAGATTCGCAGAATTCACAGAACACTGCTGAGTGCTGGCTGCATGCCAGGCCACTGGGGACATGCGACTGGGCACAGGAGGGACAAAGTCTGGTCTGGGCCTGTTCCCTGTCTCCTCCTCCTCTCCCAGGACCTTCACATGGCAGCTGTTGGGCTGTTAGGTAATGACTGGTCCTTCTTCCTGCCTTTTGATGTTTTTTTCTGAATTTTCAGAATTTACTACAATGAACACATATCTATTCTCTAATTTCCCTTAATTTGTAAATGTAAATAATCACAATCTCACCCCCCCCACACACACACACACACTCACAACCCAAGTTCCAATTTGTACTTTTCAGAAAAGGTTCAGCCTGACTTCTCATTTTAGAGATGGGGAAACTGAGGCTTAAAGAAGGGAACCGTCCAGTCCAAGGTCACTGGGCCATTAGGATTACGCCTCATTAACATGCTTTAGGAAGTTCCCTTCTCAGGATAGAATTCCAAGTGGGGGGAGGGTCTCTGTTTTCATTGGCCAGGAGCTGCTCCTAGCTAAGCTGGGAGGTAAGAAGGTTCCCAGGGTCAAGGGCAACCTGAGACTTAATGCTCAGAAGCCCATTAATCTTCTTTGATGCCCGGCACCTGCCCAACAAGCAGGGCCAGCCCCTAGTGCCTGGTCACCAGAGAAGCCTGAGAGCCTGGCTCCTTCTTTCCCCAGATTCCCCTCCCCCTCCACCCCCATCCAGTGGCCGCTCAGCCCTGACCAGCTCCGTGCTCCTCTAGTCCTGCCTCTGTCCCAGTCCTGGCCCAGTCCTACCTATCCTCTGGTCAGTCCTGGGTAAGCTCCCTCTGCTCTCTGAGCTCCAGATTCTTTCCCTACCTCCTTGTGAAAAAGGTTGAACAGAAAGGTTCTGCCAGCCTGCCACAGGCACACCTGCTGCCTACAGGAGCAGGCTGGGCCTAGCTGGCACCCTTGAGAGAGGTCTTCCTGAAGTTTCCTGGGGGTGGCTGTCAATGGTCTGTAAGGCTAGCAAGACCCCGCCAAACAGAGCCTCGGGAAGCTGTTTGGTGGTCTCCTGTTTTACAGATGAGGCTTGGGGTGAGGATCTGCCCAGGTAACATGGCTCCTTCTAGAACTAACTCCTCTCTACAGCCTGGGCACTGGGCTCTGTCTGGGCTCAGCATGTGGGACCTGGTGTGTTACCAGGGCTCTTTGTGCCTTAGTCTCCACACCTCCAGTGCCAATAGGCAGGGTCCTCTGCTCCGAGGCTGAGGGAAAGAGGAAAGATGACACTTGAGTGCTGGCAGCAGACTGGGTAAGCATCCCTGGCGGAAGATGGAGGTGGGGAGGGTCATGCGCAGGCTCCACATCTGCATGCGCCCTTCACTCTGCCTGCGCCAAGAGCAGGCAGCTGCTGCTGATGGGGGCTTCTCTGGCCCTATTTTATGGATGGGAAGCAGGCTCAGGTCTGTGAGCCACACATTTGCTTGGTGACTACCTTCCAGGGACAAAAACCCCACTTCAACCTGCTTTCTGAGAAAGCAGCCAGGACCATCCTGCCTGGCGTGTCCTCAGGGATCTGTCCTCACTGTCTCCACTCAGCACACATCCCTCTGTCTGTTGGCCTCGTTCTTCCCACCATGAAAGGACAGGTGGCTTCCCACTGCCTTATGGTTCTGAGCAAGGCCCTAGTGGATCATAGTACCAGAGGCAGGATCCTTTCTAGCATCCTACTCCCCCATCCCAAAATGACCCTGGACCAACTACCCTGGACCAATCACTGTGGTTGGGCAGAGAAGCTTAGATAGGCCAGGGCACTCATGTATATTGCTACATAACAGATACTTCTTTGTGTTGTTGTTTTTGTTTTTTGTGGTGCTGGGGATTGAACTCAGGGAGTTGAGCATGCTCTAACCCTAACTACATTCTCAGCCTAGTACTTCTTA